TACCAACCTATCAGATGCACAGTTCAAAACATTGGTGATCAGGATCCTCACAGAACTGGTTGATTTTAGTCACAGATTAGAGGAACAAATGAAAGCTAAACTAATTGAAATGAAGGGAAATGCACAGGAAACCAATAGTGATGGAAAGGAAATTGGGACTCAAATCAAGGGAGTGGACCAGAAGGAAGAAGAAAATGACCAAACAGAAAAATATGAAGAAACAAGAATTCAAAAAAATGAGGAGAGGCTTAGGAACCTTCAGGACATCTTTAAATGTTCCAACACCCGCATTGTAGGGGTACCAGAAGGGGAAGAGAAAGAGCAATGGAAAACTTATTTGAACAAATAATAAAGGAGAACTTCCCCAGTCTGGCAAAGGCAATAGGCTTCCAGGAAATCCAGGAAGCTCAGAGAGTCCCAAAGAAGTTGGACCCAAGAAGGAACACATCGAGGCACATCATCATTACATTAGCCAAGATTAAAATGAAGGAGAGAATCCTAGAAGCAGCAAGAGATAAGGGGACAGTCACCTACAAAGGTGTTCCCATCAGACTGTCAGCTGATTTCTCAAAAGAGACCTTACAGGCAAGAAGGGGCTGGAAAGAAGTATTCCAAGTCATGAAATCCAAAAACCTACATCCAAGATTGATCTATCCAGCAAAGCTTTCATTTAGAATGGAGGGGCAGATAAAGTGTTTCTCAGATAAGGTCAACTTCAAGGAGTTCATCATCACCAAGCCCTTATTATATGAAATGCTAAAGGGACTTATCTAAGAAAAAGAAGATAAAAAAGATGAACAGTGAAAGTACAGCAAACTCACAGCTATTAACAACCACACCTAAAACAAAAGCAAACTAAGAGGACAGCTAGATCAGGAGTAGAACCATAGAAATGAAGATCACTTGGAGGGTTAGCAACAGGGGAATGGGAGGAGAAGGGGGGAGAAGGTACAGAGAGTAAGTAGCATAGACAGGAGGTAGAAAATAAGGGAGAGGGTGAAAATATAATGGGAAATATAGAATCTAAAAGAACTTGTGACACGTGGACATAAACTAAAGGGGGGCTGGGAGGAGGGGTGTGCAGGGTGGAGGGAAATGAATGGGGGGGATAGAACTGTAATGGCATAATGAATAAAATATATTTAAAAAAACAACTGTTTTCACTTTGCATATTATACATGGACAATTTTATACAGAAACTTCCTAGTTTGCATAGTTATCCTTAATAGCTGTTTAATTTGATATATTCAAATCTACTCAGCAGTGCTGAATAAATGAATTTATGTGCCATGAATTTGTAACAGGAATCTTAAGAATTTAAGAACTTTAAGAATGACACATTTGAATTGCATTTTCTGGAAATAGTTAAGGGAAATGGTCTGCAAGGTCAAGGAAAATTCATTTTCCACCCAGTGAATTTAAAAGGATTCTGGGGAGGAAGCGATTTGTCAAAATTCTTCAAGTGAAAATCCAAACAGGGTCTAAGAAGCTAGGAGATGGAGCAGTCAAAACAAAGGTCAAAAGATGACAACCAGTAGGTCCTGGGAAGAATTTCCTGTTTTAGTGAGTACTATTGTGTAAAGAGTTTAAGGAATCACCCAAGAATCCTAAAACATCAATTTCAAAGAACCTATGCACCACAATGTTCATAGCAGCACAATTGACAATAGCCAAGAGTTGGAAGCAACCTAGGTGCCCATCAGTAAATGAATGGATCAAAAAATTGTGGTACATATACACAATGGAATTCTATGCAGCAGAGAGAAAGAAGGAGCTACTACCCTTTGCAACAACATGGATGGAACTGGAAAGCATTATGCTGAGTGAAATAGGCCAGGCATTTAAGGACAAATACCATATGATCTCACCTTTAACAGGAAGCTAAATAACAAAATAAACAAGCAAATAGAATAAAAACAAAGACACTAAAATAGAGAACAAGTGGGCAGCGACCAGAGGGGAGAGGGAAGGGAATTTAAGGAGAAAAATGAGGAGGGATTTTGAAGAACAAGTATGAAAGACACAGGGATGAGGTCTGTGGGGAGAGGGGGATGGGAGGGAGGTGGGGAGACGGGGCGGAGGGGGGGTTGGGATGGGAGAAATTGACAAAAGAAAACTGTACTTGAAAAACAACTCAATAAAAAAAAAAAGAAACCAAAAAAAAAAAGAGTTTAAGGAATCAATGAAGTATGTGTGTACACAGACACACACACATTTTGTCTAATAATCACATGTGCAATTAAAACCACACTGTATTTTCTCCTAGAATATTTACTTAACCATATTTGAAATATAGATAGCTAAAGATGAACAAAGGAGTTATATTTGTTATCTTTTTAAAAATTTATTGACTTAGAGGAAGGGAGACAGAGTAAGAAGCATCAGTTTGTTGTTCCACTTATTTATGCACTCATTGGTTGATTCTTACATGTGCCCTGACCGGGGATCAAACCCATAACCTTGGTATATCAGAACTATGCCCTAAGCAACTGAGCTAACGGGACAGGGCTTATTTTAATTGCAGAAAACAATTCCTGGTTCTTTTTTTTTTTTTTTTTTTAAGATTTTTTATTTATTTTTTTAGAGAGAGGGAAGGGGAAAAGGGAGAGAAACATTGATGCATGAGAGAAACATCAGTTAGTTGCCTCTTGCACCCCCCTAACTGGGGACCTGGCCTACAACCCAGGCATGTGCCCTGACCAGGAATCAAACCCATGACAACCTTTGGGTTTGTAGGACAATGGCTAACTCACTTGAGCCACACCAGCCAGGGCCAATCCCTGGATCGTGACTAGCTGTTCTATGCAAAAACTAAAATAGGGTTAGAATAGTCCAAGCAAACTTTTAGCCCTGAATAAAACTTTCTTCCTAAAATTCCAGGCATTATCATTGGACCTATGGCAGGAACAGATTGTATAACTATAGAGAACAGTGTTTAGATGGTTACCTAATCCTCATCATCCTATAGAGAACAAACAGAAGGTACTAACAGTTTCATTTTTAATTTCCCACCAGGTACTCACCATAAATATCACTTTACTGACAAAATAGTTATGGTATATTATTAACACATTCTATAGACACTCATAATAATAAAGATGATTGTAATGACAATAATGTGAAAGCGCATATTTTTCTAGTCCTTGATACTTTTCAAAGATATTCTGCAAAGGAATTGTCCTATATCCTCCTATGCAAATTAGTGCTGACCTTGAGGTTCAGTACTGATTAAGAGAATTTGGACTGTCATGGATCTTGGCATTATGGATGAGGCAAGACATTGACACAGACTACTGAGTCCTGTGGAGGAAAAGGGACGGCCCAGCTTCTCTCTTAAGAGGAGGAAAAAGCCCTGGAGCACCTTAACCACTATCTCAAGAGGAGAGTGCCCCGTCCCTCGCCTTGACAAGTTTTATTGGGTTCAATGTGCATAAGAATACAAGGTGTATATGTAAAGCTTATCAGTCATTGTCAGGCAGAAGCAATTAAACAATATATAACATTCGGAGAACTCTGAGGGCTTATTCAGAGTCAGGGTCAGATAGTTAAAGGGCCATAAAACTTTGGGGAACAAACTCACTTCCTGCTTGGACCCTTATCATTTAAATTGGAGGTATTAGTAAAGTAGTTTCATAGGATTTTATAGATTCTTTCTTAGGCCTGACCACCCGAAGGAACCCACCCTTTCCAGCACAGGGCCACACCCACCTCCAGCATTGTTTCAGGCTTAAGTCAGGCAGGGGAAGTAAGGCAGTCAAGAGATTAGGAGACTTCTTGCGAACAGAATGAAGACTCAGGCTATGTCAAAGCTGAGGGGTGAGGGTCCATAACCCCCTTTTTCTATAGCCCCTTGAGTCCTTCCCTGAGGGCCCCTTCATGACCATGCCTATCTTAGCTCATCCCTCTTTTGAGGAATCTTACCCATCATTGGCTAACCAGTCATCCGCCCGGGGCCAAGCAGGATGAAGAGAAAGGGGGCCAAGCAGAGGTGGTTCCCCTACAAGGATGATAAGCTTTGTCTCCTAAGTGGCTTATGCTCCCAAGGTCCTTTACTCAGCCTTAGACACAAAGAAGGGGATTACAGCCTCTGAAGCCAGGCAGGGCAGTTCCCAACTTTGGATCATGATAATTTTTATTCAGACAAGGGAATTTGGCATGTCCAACAACAGAACTACTGGAATAACCAGAATTTTCAGATCTTTTCACATTTCTAGAGCTTCTGGAAAGAATACTGGATTCAAAACACATAAAAACTGTATGATGTTGAGAAAGTCACTTTTCAAGTTTCCCACCTGTTATAGTAGGAATGGTATGGTAAGGATAAAATGAAATCACGTGGATTTAAGTTCCTAGGTTAATGCTTTGTCCCTCATAAGATGCTCAACAAACATTTGTGGAATTTGCAGCTGACTCACAAGTTACCATGGCACCACGAGTTAGGAAGGACTTTTTAATGGCAAGTGGCGGAAATCCAGTATAAACTGACTTAGAAAGAAATTCATTTGTTCAGGTGCTGAGAGGTGAGAGGGGTGGTATTAACATAAGTAATGGCTGGATCCCAAGTCATCAAGACACTGCGTCTCTACTGGCTCTGCTTTGTTCTGTCGACTTCATTCTCAAGCAGGCTCTCTCCACAGTTTGTAAGGGCCACCAGCAGCTCCAGGCCTTTACTCTCTGTGGGCTTGGTGATAATTCACTAAGTGACCATTCTAACCAAAGTCCTGGTGATGAGTCTCACTGATCAGGTCTGGCTCATCTTCTGAGCTGGGGTCAAGAGAGGGGGTAAGCCCTGCCCAACACACACAGATGATTCCCTAGAGGAGAAGAGATGTTCTTTTATCAGAAGAAGAAATGCGGGAAAGCAAAACAACAGATGCCAAGGGTACAGAAGGTTTTAAGGTGTTTCTTCTAAAACTAAGGACTATAGAGTGGGAATGAAGGAAATCTGGGAGTCAGGAAAATCATACTTTGGAAAGTGACATTGTCCTGTATATTTATAGATACCGAGACTACCGTGACCCTCCTCACTCACTGGTGCCCTACGGCTACACGCTGCAGTTCTGGCATGTCCTAGCGGCTCGACTGGCTTTCATCATTGTGTTTGAGGTTAGTTTTCTCAACCGTTCCTACTGTTACCGAACAGAGGTCCAAGGGGTGGGCAATATTTGGGCCCACCCAGGGATGCCAAAAACTGTTACAGAACAGGTCCCCCCTCCCCTCCGAGGTGGTATACTAATATTTACTGGGCTCTTCTGTCTGCCGCCAATTGGAAAGACACCTCTCAATGCTAGAGATTTGTGAAAAGGAAACGAAATGTTTATTTAATGCTACTCAGGCCTAATGCCTCCACTAAAATATCAAAGTCCTTTAGGGTATACACCTACACACACACACACACACAGCTCTCCCTTCTCCCACTGTCCCAACTCCGGGTACCGTAAATCAGGAAAAGAGCACGCGTCCATTTTTCCAGGCCGCTGGTATTGTCAGCTGTATTGACCGTCAGGCAGGATCTCTAGGTTATTCCAAAGTCATGTGGCACCCTCTCACGGTCCACTGGCAAGAGTTCTTTGTACCAAGTTCCAGTCAAAGTCTCTCTTGCTTTCCAGGCCACGTGGCCAAAGGGGGCACCCCAAAGCTGCATGGGTCTCTTCTACCAAAGCTGCAGGGGTCTGACCAAAAGTGCATGTCTTTCTTCTTCACCTGGCTGCAGGGATCTCCATTCTGGCAAAGTTGCATGGTTTTCCCTTTCACCTGGCTGCAGGGGTCTGCACTCTGGCCAAAACCACATGGTTCTCTCTTTCATGGCTGCCTCATCTGGGTTTAAATCTCCATGCCCATCCTCCTTTGCAGCCTCATTTCTGACTCCTCCTACAATGTTACACCTGCCAGTATTTCTGTATTATTACAAGTTGACTAGGCTGCCATCATTAGTCTGGGCAGGTTTGGCTCCATGTCATGGAGCCAATCAACTCCAAGCTCCCACGCAGGCGCTGTAACTTGGGGGGACCAGCCCCCAGTTACATCCTGGGTAGAAGCCACTCCCTTCTCCCTGGCTCAAAGCATGGCCACAGCTATTTAACATATCTATGAAACCAGTTAAAGGTTATAGATATGTTAAATGACCATGCCAGAGGTCAGCTGCGAAACTGTTGCTATGCAAAACAACTCTAAATGGCTCTGCTCCATTTGTCCCTTCCCCCAACTGACACCTGGGGCGGGGAGGACATCTTAATATTTCCTGGACACCCTGAGCTCTGGACCTCATCCCAAATCCTTATTTGGGGGCCCCTTCCTGGCTGCGCCCTGTTATACTACCCTTTGAAATAATGAAGGAACTAGACATAATAACTATGAGAATGTGACTATGTATGTCTAGAAGCAGCATAGTAATATTAGGTGAATTCTTTATCTTCTTGTCTTGCTCCTAAATGAAAGCCCTTGAATTTTCTAAGAAATCTTTGAAAGTCCATTTGTCAATTGTTCATGAATAAGTTAAGAATTATTGGTGCTACATTTAATATTTGAGGGTCATGGTTCTTAAACTTTTAGGAAAACTGCCCCTTTTTTTTCATTCATCCCCAGAGATTCTGATACATCCTGTCTGTGGTTTGCTTTTTACAAGCCCTCCAGGGTGATCCTGATGCGCATTTGCAAGGAACTTAGTTTGGAAAATACTGAACTGGGTGTTACAAGTGGCAGCCTCTGGTTGGGTAGCATCATGGCCTTACTTATGGCCAAGCACATAAATAAATGTTCGTTACCTAGGACTCAAAAGTCTTAAAAAGTATCATTATACAAAAGTATCATCTACCTAGTAATTGCATGTCTTATGTGTCAATAAAAATATATTACCTCTTTGCTTTTAGTCTTTAAGAAAATTGCTGCTAAAAATAGTTTGCATTTCTATACCTTGTACTCATAAATAGATATTGCATCCCCTGTCACATATATTAAAGGCAAATTAACACAAGCAAGGTCTGCATTTCAACCTGGACCAGAAGCTTCCTATATCTCTTTGAAAGTATCCCCTCACTGTTTTTTCTTTTTTTTCTTCATCCCAGGTAATCAAAAATAAAAGACAAAAGTAACCTACTTTTCCCTGTTAATAGCTTATCAATACCTCCTCAAAAAATTTTTAACCCATCGCTGTCTTAAAATTTCTCAAAGTAAAAACAGAGTTGCATTAAGTTATAAATTGGCTTATCATGTAGAACTTTCCATTTTGTTTCAACATTTTATAATTGAAGTATTTTAAAATACTAGAATATACAGAAAATCTTCTTAATTGGCAGAATTGTAAGCCACCCATGAGTCATCAAATTTACCAAGTTTTCAATAAAATGAAGAATACTTACTGGTCCCATTTGAACGTGATTTAATCTTTGTTTACAACTTTAGAGTTATAAGGGCCATTAACATTGTCACCTGGTATTTTACTGGTCACCATCATACAGATGAAGAGAAGTGATGGTGATTCAAGAGTTTGGGCTGTTAGTGTTACAGGTAAAGAATTTGTGGGAGTTCACCTCCCTAAAAAGTTTCTTCCTGAAGTGGTCACTACTGTAAGTAAGCCCACTGGTAATTCTTGCAATCCAGATTAGCACAGTATTTACAACTCATCTTTAAACATTTTCTTATAATTTTCACAATAATACCCAATTTCTAGATGAGCAGATTGAGGCTCAGAGTGACTTGCCCTCCAGTAGATAGACAGCTCTTAAGCAGCAAAAGCTACGGAGCCGGGATTCAAACCCGGGTTTCCCGATTCCAGAGCATACCTTCCTCTGGCTCTCCTTCGCATTCGTTGACCATTCCCTCTCCACCTCCTTTTCTGACTCCTCTCCTCATTCCCTGTGCGATGCCTTCTTATCCCTGAGACAGTCTTTACTCACACACCCCTGCCTGGCCTCACCCCACTTTCCCGACACTCCAGGGGCCCCACATCCCTGGAGCAAGAAGAGTTGTTAAACCACCTCCCGGCGCTCTTTCTAGCGAGGGGTGGACAGTGGACCTGACTCTGTTGCATTCTCCTCTGTGTTTTTAGCACCTCGTGTTTTGTATAAAGCACCTCATTTCATATCTGATCCCAGACCTCCCAAAAGATCTAAGGGATCGAATGAGAAGAGAGAAGTACTTGATCCAGGAGATGATGTATGAGGCAGAACTGGAGCGTCTCCAGAAGGAACGGAAGGAGAGGAAGAAAAATGGCAGAGCACACCACAACGAGTGGCCGTGACCGGTAGGTGCAGGTGCGCCGAGTCTGAAGCCACTCACTTCTCTGGTGGGGGGCGGCGAGGAGCTCTACACTCCCCGAGGCAAAGCTTGCTATTGTTCCACCAAGGAGGATCAAAATGACTCCTCAGAAGCTCCCCCAAACCAGCCTGTTTTCTACTTTAATCATGAATTTAACTCGTTATTCCCTTTACACACAACACCTGCAACTTCTCTCCGCCTTCATGCCACACTCTGACCTGTCAGTCAGAGTCTTCATGATTGGCCTGCACGTTCCCTGAAATCAGCCTTCTCCCCCAGCTGGGCTATTCCCTTTAAGGTCCCCAGGGCAATAGCCCCCTCCTTTCTAACCAAGTCACCTTCTCATCCCACCCAAGATGACCTTGTCTCCATCACCCATTCATTGCTTCCTCCCAGGCTGATCCGCGTCCAGCCATGTCCTGTAAGAAGTGTTCCCCAGACTCACGAGCCCACTGAGACATACTCCTTATAAACGTCTCAGGTTGTTGCATCAGTATCACATGTATTGGCAGATATTGATCTGTATTGCCAGTTTATGGTTTTTCAAATAGTGATCAAGCTTCCTCAGCATCATTGTAAGCATTTGTATAAAAGACTCTATGAATGGTCATTTTATCCTTCCAGCTTGTTAGCACAGGGTTAAGCACATGGCACCCATTTAAATGCACATTCAGTTAGTAAAGGTCGGATGGATGGATGAAGGCTAAAAACTTTGTAAGAAAGTACCGTAATGTTCTCACATATCTCATCAAAAGTTTTTCTGAATCTTCTCTGGCAAGTCAGTTACTAGCTGTGTGTCCTTGGACAAGTCACTTAACTTCTCTGGGCCCGTTTCCTCGGTGATGGAATGATTAGATGAGCTCTCAGTTTTGATACTTTGTGAAACTAATACTGTAGCATTTCATTTGCCTTCCTTGCCCTTCATTTCTCTCTCCACTTGTTCAAAGACAACTTTGAAAACATTTTCCCAATATTGGGCCTCTAAAAGAAAAAAGATACACAAGGGGAAAAAAGTATGTTTTTCACTTTTCATGTAGGTTAAGACGTACCAGCTATTTGTAAAGATGTTTGTTGTTACGCTAGTGAATTTTTATCAAGCCAGACCTGTGATAAGAATCCAGGAGGTTATTGTAGGTTAGATATGAGTGTGGACTTGGAGGACATCCCCTAGGCCCCAGGCCCATGGGGAGAACAGTGGTGTCTAGAGGATGCACAGGGTCCCCGCCTCAATCCCAAAGTAGACCTTGGCTTTCCCAAAGGCGAGAAATGTTTTGCTACTTAGTAATTTTGCTATTTTCCAGATCCATCATTTGGCTATGTATCTTTGGGAAAATTAATTTTTCTGAGCTGCCTTATTTGGTAGAGCTAATATGCGGCTAAAATAGTCCCCATATGTGAGACATTTACTACACAAGAAAATGCTGTCCAATACTAAAAGGGATTTGTATTGTTGCCAAGCATCGTGCTGCAGGCCCCTGGATTCTAGACCTGGCTTTTCCGCTGTACAACCTGGAGCGGCCCTGAAGTAGACCGCCTGCCACATTTGAAAGAGCACAGAAGTTGGACTGAACAACACTTTAAGAGCCCTTCTGCTTTCTCCTGGGATTCTGTAATCTGGCCAAGCCCCTGGCTCTCACACCCATTCGAATGGCCTCTTCTCTGGCTCTGCCCAGCCTCGGAGGAGAAAGGTGGACTGCCAGGCAGCTTTTGCAGAGGTGGAAAGCAGACATTAGTGAAAAGAATCACTCCCCAGAGCTCCAGGGGCCAGAGACTGAGGCACAGCAGTGGCATTCTCCACACCTCAGGGCCAGTACCCAACTGCGGGTCTCCTCTGGCCTCATCGTCATGTGATGCTTTCTCCCTAACAAGGCCGTTTCTGAGTTTTCCTTAAAAGCGTAGTGCTTGCCTGTCTACTCCCCTCACAGCTGGCAGGACGTCACCTTGCTGCGGGCTGACTCAGTCCATTCCTCTCTAAAGCGGGCACAGTGACCTTCATACCACACATGCCCCTGTTCGGGGTTACTAATCCCACGAATGCCTTTGGTTCACAGTGCGTGCAAACCATTGTGCTTGTGTCCTTAAACCAGTGTGTGCCCACAGCATTTTAATGCCTGCTTTTCTTCTTCCAGGTTACAGTTCATTTCCCGGCCAAGGACCCCGAACTCTGTTTACTTCTGGCTGTGCAGGAGCACATTCAGGTGAATGACTAACATGCAAGCGCAGTGCATGTCGCAGACATCGGCAGTGGCCGGGGAGCCAGCGCCCGGCCAGGACTGCCAGAGAAGGCGCCGTGCGGGCCGGCGCACGGCCGCTCTGTGTCCATAGACCATTCTTGACCAAGCAAGCATGCGCGTCACGGGCAGTCCCATTTCTCAAGTTTTTAAAACCAAGGGGAACTTGTATACTGGGCCTGTTTTTCAGCCTGTTTGCTACCTTTTTGCATTCTACCCCATGGGAATTTTACAGACACTGGGGTAAAAAGGGTATTCGGACACCTGGACACACATTCCTAGAATGTCATCACGTGGTCCTAACTCCATGTCACCCAAACAACACAAACAAGACCCTGTTTACAACTTTTTTTTTAATTTCAGATCTTTCTGAGATTATTATATATGACATATCTATAGCTATGTGTATGGCCATAGATGTATTTCTGTGTGTACATATGTATAGTCATATATTCTTACATATGTACATACAAGTACAGAGATATATAAAGTACATAAAAATTCCTTACTTGTAAATAGCCAACAGGTACTGACATGAATGACGAATTTTCACATTTAAATAGTCATCAACATGAAGCCATGTTTAATGCTTGTATAATGTGATGCAATAAAATTTAAAATAAATTTATGCACATGAAATATTTTCAGCTGGGTCTTCTGAAATTTTGTTGTATTTCCTTCTTATGGAATGAGAGGAATCATAGCAGAGTGGACTCTTTAAAGAAAGGTCTATCACTCCCAAACACCCCTCAGAAATCCTTTTACCCTGCAAGGAGACAGCTTTTTTTTCTTTCTAACTCACCTCTTCCATCTTGCTTCTGAGGGTACTGAGCCAACTAATTAGAAAGAGCTTAGCAAATGCCATTCAGGCACTTTGTTGAGAAAAGATGACCGATGGTCCTTGTCAGGCTTTTGATTATCCTGCTGACTAATATGCTCTGTTAATCCTTGGACAGGGAGCATCTCTGGGGAGAGAAAGGTGTGGTTCTAAACAATGCCTGTTGCTGTAATTACTCTTCTTCCAGAGATTATAGAACCTTGAGCCCTGTTATCATCTCCCCTGGGCTAGGTGGGGAGAGGACAGGGCACCCATTACCATACCCATCAAACACTGCCTGGTTTGGGCTGTGGGTTCACCTAGCTCATTGATTCTCATCCCTCAGTAGCTTTGGTCAAGCCGGAACTTCAGCCACTTCTTAGTTTCGTCTTCCTGGTACTCCTGATCTGCCATTCCTTGGAGTGAGATATCCTAGCAGGGCCTGAACTAGGGAGGGGCGCTCCATTGGAACTAAGGCAACAAGCTGTTGACAGTTTTCTTTTTTAATCATTGTTCAACGAGTCTGTGCAATATTTATTTCACACCAGCCCTAGGAAGAGGAATTTCTAAGAAAGTCTCAGGAGATAAAGTGCAGAGAGCAGTTACAAAAAGACCATTGACTCTCCTGACTCAGCATTTTGCTTGCTATGCCTGAAGCTCCCCTCCAAGCGTCACGGCCCGAAAAGTCCTTAAATTTGGCACATCTATAGCTGTTTGCCTACCCTTCAGGGTAAAGGGAGATGGACCCTGAACAGTGAGAACCAGATGGAATTCTGCCATTTCAAGTGCCTCTGGCAATCACAGTTCCTAATGTGTTTCCAGCATTCAATTCCTTCCTTTCCCCTGTGTCTTGCTCCCTCCCTCTCTTCCTCTTTCCTCCTTCACACCCACCTGCTCTTTCTTCATTTCTTTTTAGCAGTACAATGAAGGCACTTATTCACCTTCCCTGCTTGGGGTAGAAGGAACTTGTGGTGAATATCTTAAGATACTTTTAGGTTTGTCAGGAAGAAAGGCAAAGAAGGTTTTAGGAGGGACATTTCTGAAGAATTCAAGTGTAGGGAATAGTATCAGCAAGATGATGCCATGGGTCATTCCTGACTTGGCTCCCCCTCAGAAGTAGAAAACAACTACTGATAGCACACCACTGAGAGAATACTAGGGCACAGGGGGTGAAGCTGAAGCACCCCACTGCACGTGGAGACCAAAACAGACCTCAGTAGAAGGCAGAGAGGAATGGCTACACATTGGCCAGTTGTGCCTTCCTTAAGCTGGGGCCCCACCACAACTCGAGGTCTCCCCCAGGCCTACAGTTGCTCCAGGGGGAAGGAAAGAGCCTGGCATGGATACCCAGCTCTCCCACAATTGGGGGTCACTTTTCAGGAACCCCCACGTAGGTCTCACTGTACAGGGATTGCAGGAGAATCTGCAAGATTTGACCACTAGGTATTTGATTGTGATGGGGAATGGGAAGGAGCTTGCAACAACTAGCACCCAGATCCTAGGCACTGAGCTCCCGCCTGCAGAGCCTGAGGAGTGGTCCCAACCAAGAGCTTTGCTCATCTGTAGAGCCATGACCGAGGAACTTGACAAGGTGAAAGTCTGCAGCGCTTGGGTTTTTCCAGGGAGGAGCCTGGCCAGGCCTGGAGCCTGGTGTGCTCCCACCTAGGCAGGGGACCTAAGAGTTGTAGCCCCACCCACTGCTGAGTGTCGCTTCTACTCCCTCCCAGAAAGCTTGACCAGGAACACCTGGGAGGCTGCTTGGAGCTGGCCTTCCCCTTCCACCCAGGAGGGGTGCTATTGCCCCATCCATGTGGAGCATAGCTCCCAGCCCCTCCCAACCAGAAAGCTTAGCCACATCTACTAGAAGCTGTGTAGCCCAGCAGGGCTCATGAAGGGAGAACAGTGGGCAGAGCTGATTGCCCGCAGAGCAAAACCAGTGGCTCCGTTGGGCCAAGGAACGTGGGGTGTGGGTTGGCTTGAGTCAAGACCACAAAGAGACTGGTCAGGCTTAGAGTCAGTTCTGCCTAGGCAGGAAAACCAATTCGTAGTCCCACTTACTGCTGAACACTGCTGCAACCGGGCTGACCTGGGAACCTAACCAGAGAACACGAGAAGCTGTCATAGCCCATTCAACAGCCCTGCTTACCGTGGCACCTGGACAGAGAACACACCTCAAGGCTTTTTCTATCTGCAGAGCAAAACCAGTGCCCTTCTCAGGCCAGGGAAATTCACAGTCTTGCCTAATTTGGTCCCCAAACTATGAGTCACACAGACCCTGGGCCTGTCCTATGGTCCTGCCTGGGCAGGAAGCTAATTCATTGCTCTGCCTACTGCTGGGTACAGTACCCAGTCCTGAGCATCTAGTCAGCTTAGAGAACCCAGACCACAAGGGAGCCCTATCCTGCTCCCTTGCTTGGGCAGGGAACCAAGCCAGCAGACCAGTCCGAGTTTTCTCAGTTGGCAGCACCTCCCCCAGCCCAGAGCTTGGGCAGTGGCCTCACTCCCCCCCAAAGAGACCCTAATAGCAAGCCCCACCCATCCTGGGACATCATTACCAGCACACACGTCCAAAACCCCCACCTAAGCTGACTGGTGAAGAAGTATCTCTGCCACGGCAAACTGTAAATTCTAGAGAGGACACCACTCTCTCAGACCTGCAGGTACTGACATGAGAAACCCAGGACCAGGAAAAGTCAGGGAAGCATGACCCCACCAAAGGAAAGGAATAAAGTTTCACTAACTGACACTATACAAATGGAGATCTGTGGCCGGTCAGAAAAGAATAATCCTCTTAAGGAAATTCAGTACACTCAGGAACACACGATAGAAACTGTAAAAAAAATAAACAGAAACCTCGAGCTCAAGTGCATAATTGAACTGAACAATTAAGTAGAGAGCTTCAGAAATAGACTAAAAGTCGAGCACTTTCACGTATCTGTTAACCATTTGTTATGTTTTTGTGGGAAAAGGGTCTGTTCGGGTCCTCTGCCCATTTGAATGGGATTGTTTGCTTTGTTGTTGAGTTCCGCATCTATTTTGCATGCCCCTTATTAGAGGTAGTGTTTGCAAATGTCCTTTCCAATTCAGTTAGTTGCCTTTTTGTTTTGTTGAGCTTGCCCAGTCAGATGTGCAAAAAGAATGAAAAAGGGTAAAAAAGACAATGAGGCATATAGGACACAATAAAAAAGATATTTGTGTTATGATTATTTCAGAAGGAGAAGAGAAAGAAAAAGGGACAGAAAGCATATTTAACGATTTAATGGCTGAAAAATTCTCAAACCTGGGGGAAAAAATAGAACTCCAAACCCATGAGGCCCCAAAAGTTCCAAAATAGATTGAATCTAAGTAGAGCTACATGGAGACACATTATAACTAAATCACTAAAGGCCAAAGAAAAAGATGAATTTTTAGAGCAGCAAGAGAAATGAGAGAAGTCACCTGGAAGGGAACCTCCGAGTGGATTTCAAAAACAGAAACTTTTCAGGGCAGGAGAGAATGGGGTATTACATTCAAAATATTGGAAGAAAATAGTCAACAGAGAATTCTAAGACCAGAAAATGGAGAGAGAAAGTTTTCCTGAACAAACAAATGCTGAGGGAATTTTATTACCACTAAATCTATGAGAAGTGCTGAAGAGAATTTTTTGAGTCAAAGTACAAGGGCACTAATTAGCATCATAAATACACAGGAGGTAGCAGAAAACACTGATACTTACAAAGTTAAATTCTGTAATACAGGAATTAATGGTGGTTCATAGTTCACTTAGAGCTCTGCTTTAGAAGTTAAAAACAATCATATTAAAAATGCCTACAATGTTACTGGATATACAATATAAAAATGTGAACTATCACATTAATAACCTAAAATGTGAGGGAGAAGAAAAGTATAAGTGTACAGTTTAGGAATGCTATTAAAGTTTAAAATAAGGTATTAATGGTTTAAGATATTATATGTAAGCCTTGTGGTAGCTGTAAGGGAAAAGCCTGTAGTAATTACACAAAAGAACAAAATAAAGAAGTCAAAGCATACTGATACCAAAAGACAGCAAAATACAAAAGGCAGCAGCATAAGAAACAAAGAACCAGCCAGACAGAAAAAAATGAATAAAATGGCAATAATAACTCTTACCTATCAAAAATTACAT